TTGAAATAATTCCATGCATTCTATCAGACCACAATGCAATAAAGTTTACAATCAACACCAGAGAAGCCTTAATCACCACATGAACATATGGAGATTAAACAACACACACCTGAATGATGAATGGGTCAAAAGAGAAATTAAGAAAAAAATAAAAGTGTTCCTGGAACTAAATGAAAAGGACAATACAACATGACAAAACCTCTGGGACACGCTGAAAATGGTCCTTAGAGGGAAGTTTATAGCTCTTAGTGCCTACATCAAAAAATCGGAAAGAACACAAATAAATGACTTAACATTGCAACTCAACACACTTGAAAAACAACAGCAAACCCATCAGAGAAGAAGAAATAACAAAAATGAGGGCAGAAATTAATGAAATTGAAACAAAGAAAACAATACAAATAATCAACAACTCCAGCTGACCCTCCTAAAACAAAGACCTCTAGATAGCCTGACTAGATTTACCAGAAGGGCAGGTAGTGGGGAATGGCTGGGGGTCCCGACCACACAGCAGACAGTAGCAGGGATATCAGAGTATAAGGGCTCTAGTCGGGGGAGGGAGGCTATGGGAGGGTGCTACCTGGGAAGTGGGTGTACAAAACAATAAAATTTTTCAAAGCATAAAAATTTGCTCCTTAATAATTAGTAGATGTGAAAAACATTACCACTGAAATCTACCTGTGACTTTATATCCATGCTCAGATGCCAAGGAGCTCAGATAGTAACCAACTGTGACTAGTAATAATCAGATATATAGAGATTAGAAACACATGCATCTTAGTGTCAATTGTATCAAAAATGAATTTTTCTGTAAAAAAAATGCAAACTCACTTGAAGTCAGACACAGTAAAATCAGGAGCCTCTGAATTTCCACATTCTGAAAGAACTTAAAGGATAATGGCTGACTATACAAGTCTTTCTGAACAAAGTCCACCAGCCCAACTTAGAAATTTCAAAGTCTGATCTCATCAGTTTGGGCAAGGAGCAACAGGAAGTATTAGTGAGAGTATTAAATTGTGGAACATTGATTAGCATTATCTACTAGTTAAAGATAGAAATGACTTATAATCTAGCCAATTCTACTCCTATGTATACACTCAAGAAAAATCTGTATACATGGATTTTAACAGACGTGCAAGATCTTCACTGCAGCATTACTAAATACATATCGGAATGGCATAGCAGGAAATAGAAAAAGAATGGAGTCAATAAACAACATTCAACAACATTCATGTCAACTAAAGAATTACAGGAGATTAAATTTTTAAATTTTGGAATAAAATAATGGAGTTTTTTACATATTTTATTTATTATTTTTATTTTTTATGTGTATGCGTGTATTGCCTGTGTGTAGGTAAATGGACCTGTGTCGTGCAATGCCCAGAGGGGACAAAAGAGGCTACCAGATCCCCCTGAAACTGGAGTTACAGACAGTTGTTAACTGCCATGTGAGTGCTGGGATTCGAACCTGGGTCTTCTACAAGAAGTGTTCTTAAGCGCTGAGCCATCTCTCCAACCCCCATAAATAATGGAGTTGTTTTTTTTTTAAACAGGGGAGAGAAAGGGAATGGAGAGGAGAAAGAGAGTTCCATTTTATACTGGGAAAGAAACTAGAATATTTCCCATGTCGAATTACATTGAGAGAGTGTAAAACAAAGTAAGTAGTACCACCAAAGTAATTATTAATTATGAAGAGAATTTTAGGCAATAGTAATAATAATGTGAACAACAAATATCAACTTACCCAAAATTGTGATCTATATAGGGAAGATTATAGGAAAGTAAATACTGTCTGCATTAATGTGGAGATGGAGTTGGGCACACCATTAGAAAACTTAAGTCTTAGCTTCCACAGTAGAAAGGCAAGAAATAATACCTAAAAATGAAGGAGGGGCCAAGAAATGGGAGTACCAGCCAAGTTACTTAGGAACAAACAGGAAAATATCAAGGTATTCAACTTGATGAATAACTGCCTCCAGGACACTGGGTATGAGAGCAGGAAGGATACCAGAATTAATGGCACACACCAGGAACCCCAACATTTAAGAGGCTAAGGCAATAGGAAAGATCTCATCTGAAGCCAACCTGATCTGTACACAGCAAGATGCACAGGAGGATGGAAAAGAAGGGAATAGAGGAGAGAAAGAGTGGGAAGAATGAGGCAGAGAATTCTTCTTTTCTTTGTGAATCCAGTAATACAATTCTACTTTTTATTTTTGTATTTTTAGATAGTTTCGTGTAGCTCAGGCTAGCCTCAAACTCAAAAATGCAACTGAAGATAGCCTTTAATGCTGATTCTCCCGCCTCTACCTCCCAAGTGTTGGGATCACATGAGTATTTCATCATGCCTAGCCCAATTCTACTTTTTAAATAAAATAACATGTTACTTTTAAACAGAAAAATTAGTTTTTGATAAACGTAAATGTGGGGCTTGTGAGATTACTCAATAGGTAGGGCCAAATGACCTGAGTTTGCTCCCGAGGACACACATGATGGAAGGAGAGAAATGACTTCTATAAATTATCCTCTGACCACACATACGCCATGGCACACAAAACAATACACACACCACCACCACCACCAACAACAACAACACACAAATAAATAAGTAAATAAATAAATAAATAAATAATAAATAAACAAACAACCTTAAATTTTTTTCTTTTACTTTTAATTTAAATAAGCTAAGGTCAAATAATAGTCATTTTCCAAGTGTATATCTGTAGAGAACAAACCAGTTCTTTTATACCGCCCTCCCTTTTTTGTAGTTTTTGAGACAGCGTCTCCCTCTAGTGCAAGCTGGCCTGTAACTCACTATGTAGACCAGGCTGGTCTCAATCTCAGAGATCTACCTGCCTCTGCCTTCCAGTGCTGGGACTAAAGGTGTGCACCACCACACCTTTACTTTTTCCCCCCTTTTTACAGAACTGAGAATTGAGCTCAGGGTCTTGCACATAGTAAGCAAGCACACCTCAATCTAGCTATATCCCCAACCTGACAAACGTTTTTACTATTCCTCAGACCAGCTTTGCAGAAGGATTGTCTCAATTTCATAGAAGGCAGAACTGAAAATCAAGAATACTTTTAGTTGTATTATGTCTTTGATTTTTTGTTTGTTTGTTTGGTTGGTTGGTCCTTTACCTTTCCAGCTGTAGCAAAATATTCACCATCAGGGGACCATTCCATCAAATGTACAGATACTGAGGTTCTTTAAAAAAGAAAAAAAAAAGCATTTTCAGAATGTTATGTATAAGAGGTCAAAATAATATTTTCATAACATCAATGGCACAATCATTACAGAAGTATTTTTGCCCCCCTAACAATATAAACAAAATATTTTAAGCTGGGTATGGTGGTACACCATGCTTTAATCCCAGCACTTGGGTGGCAGAGATAGGCATATCTCTGTGAGTTCAAAGCCAGCCTGGTCTACATAGTGAGTTCCAGGTCAGCTGGGACTATAAGGAGACCTTGTCCTTAAAAAAATAAAAATAAAAAACTAGCTAGAGAGATGGCTCAGCAGTCAGCAGTTAAGAGCACCAGCTGCTCTTCCTAAGGGTCTGGGTTCAATTTCCAGGCTAAAAACTGTCCTTACCTCCAGGTCCAAGGGATCCAAGCCCCTCATCTAGCCTCAGCGGGCACTGCACAACATGGGTACACTTACATACACGCAGGTAAAATGCTCATACACATAAAAATAAATAAAAATAAATATTTCATCTTCATGAAAACATAATCAAAACTAATCCAAAGTATACTTTAAAAAAAGAAAATCCAATAAACACAATATCAATACCTAATTTATACATGTTCCATCAACATCCTCACTGTAACATGTTAAAAGCTGAGCTCATCATCTTTCCTCTGTGTAACCCAGGTTAATGTTAATGACACAGCCATCATTCACTCCAAAAAGGGGCTAAAAACTTCTGTATTTGCCCATGCCCATCCGTATCTCATTCATTAATGAGTAACTGCTGTGTGTCCTAGAACTATAAATATGAACATTGCTTTGGGGAAAAACAATTAACTAAAGCACAGATTAAAGAATGACAATAGTTTTGATGAGAAAAAGCCTACTTTTTAGATTTCTAAAATACAATGTTGTCATCCAGAAATTAGATTTTTGTAAAAAGGAACAGAATTTAGGAAACATTTTTAGTAAATAAACACAACAGAGTTAGACACTAACTTGCACTGCCAGATGCACTTCCAATCATTTAAAACAGGAGGGAGTTTATTATCAATTTCTTCCACCTCTTCTAGAACATCATCTCCTGGAGGAGCCCACAACTGAATAGAGTCAGTTGCTGTCAACAATCTGTTATCTGGAAAGTAAAGAATGTTCTGATGAATAACCAAGGATGAATAACCTAGGAGAAAAAGCATATGTGGACTTCTTTTATGTCTAAAAACTATTAAGTAAAAAATAGGCAATACCATCTATGAAAAACACTTGGGTCTATTTAAAAGAAATCCTTTAGAAGAAGGAGAAAAAACAAACCCCGAGACAAGAAAGAATCATAACTATGGATAGACAATGACAAGACAAAACAGAAAAGCTTACTACAAAGGGCTTCATCTATCAAACAAGTATTAAAACAGTGAAAGTGGAGTAGTCAATCCCCCAGACTCTCCTACATACAGTGTGAAGTGTTCTCAGGACAGAATCCCCCAGACTCTCCTCTGTACAGTATAAAGTTTTCTCAGAATATAAAACAAAATTTAAAATAAATGTATCTACATGAACTATAAAATAACCCTCATTAATTGTGAAAGTAAAGGGGGGAAAACTATTTATCACAGTTAACAAATCTTTATAAATTAAAGGCAATAATTTCCTGAAATACAGATGATAACAAAATAGAGGGGCTGTTTTGGTCCCTGATTTATTTATGATATTGTTTCCTAGTAGGTAAGAGTAAGGTATATCATGTGTTAACTAAGGAAACAAATCACTGTTTCTTGAAATAAAGCATTAATAAGCAGGAACAAAAAGCAGAGGACAGTCAACTGAACACTGTACAAAGCAATGTATATACAGAAGAAAAATGTATACTCACGCATCAACAAAAACATAACACCAATCATCTTATCGCCAAAGATTGTCACATTTTAATTATACATTCAAAGCAAATACTTTAATAATTTCTAAAGCATATCTGCTAAATACCTTGAGGGTCCCATGCTAAGTTGTATGTCACAGAACTCAAAAAAAACTGCCCCGTTTTCAGCCATTGACACTTGAGTTGCTGAAACATGGAAAGAAAAAAGAAAAGGATGTTTTTAAAAATACCCAAACTCCACATTTTGTCAATTTCTTCAACATAAGGCCTTACAAAGGTGCAAATATTTCACTGTTTTTAAAATAACCTCCAATAGTCCCATTCACTAGTTACTCTGCCATACTGAGCTGCTTTGCTATACCCAACCAAGCATATTCTCCCAAGCTGCCTTCTACATCTATAAATACATTTTCAGACTTGAAATATTCTTTCTTTCACTTCTCTACCTGTAAACTATGCTTTGTTACAATCTAACAAAATCATCACCTCTGTGAAACCTCAGACATCCTAAAAGCACCCAGAGCACTTTAACATTCTGCCATCACAACACCAATCACACAGAATGACGTGTTTATGTGTCTAACTTCTGTGTGTCAGATTGCAACTCTTCAAGGGAAGGAACAATGTCACAACAATCTTTTGAGGATTTTGTTATTCTCTGGTGGTATTTTGTTAGTCTTTTTTGTTGTATGAAACAGGGTCTAGACTTAAACCAGGCAGGCCTGGAACTTGCTATGTATTAGAGGATGACCTGATCCTCCTGCTTCTACCCCTCAAGTGTTGAGATTAGAGGCACAAACCACATGGCTGGGGGGTGGAAGTTTTTGACTTTGAGAGTTTTGTGTGATACGGTCTTTCTATGTTGCTTTGTTTGGCTTCAAACTTATGGTAATCTCCTCCTTCTTCCCCCAAGTACTGGGATTACTACTCCAATCTTTTTATCTTCAGCCATGCCTTGTCTACTACAAAGATACTTTAAAAATATTAGGGCTGGAGAAATGGCTCAATGGTTTAGAGCACTGGCTGCTCTTGCAGAGAACCCAGATTTGGTTCCCAACACCCACAAAGCAGCTAATAGCCATCTAGCTTCAGTTTCAGGGGATCCAATGCCCTCTTCTGGCCTCCATAGACACTGCATGCATGGGTGTACTTACATACAGGCAAAATACTCATACACAAAAAATAAATTTTAAAAATAAAAATTATACAACAAATCTATTTTAATGTAGTAATTAAATCATTTCTAAAGTCACAGACATCTCCAAGACTTCTTCAGTGTTCCTCAGAAAATAATTTACAGCTATACTACTATAATATAGAAATTCTAGATGTGAGGCCTGAGTTTTTATATATTCTATTCTGTGGTGACAAATGAAACTTAGGGCCTTGAGCATGAGCTCTACACTGATCTATATATTTCCATCCCTAGGTGACTCTTAGCCACTGCACAATTAAATGCTTATTATATAATATTACTATAAAGAAACACTGGTTATTTTAATTGGAGAAATATAAAAAAAGATTCATGTATACAGATTTAAACCAAAACTAGTTTTTAAAAAACACTCTAGAGATGGGCACAATGGCTCACATATATAGTCCCAGCAACAGGCTGAGTTTAAGAAGGAGGGTGGCTTAAGCCTAAGAGTTGCCAGCCTGGGCAACTGAGCAAGACCTCATCTCAGAAAATAAATAATTTTTTTAACTTTTAGATTTTATTTGTTATTTTTACTTTATGTGTATGCATGTATTGCCTGCATGTAGGTAAGTGCACCCATGTCATGCAATGCCCTCAGAGGTCAGAAGAGGCTGTCGGATCCCTTGGGACTGGAGTTACAGGCAGTTGTTAGCCGCCATGTGGGTGCTGGGCTTCGAATGTGGGTCTTCTGCAAAAACAACCAGTGTTCTTAATCTCTCCAGCCTCAATAAATAATTTTTTTAATTAGTCACAGGGCTAGTATTGTAACTCAGTTGGTAGAGTGCTTGCCCAGCATGCACAAAGCCCTACTAGGTTTGGTCCCCAGCACCACATTAACTAGGAGTGCTAGCATAAGCCTCTAATAATAGCACTCAGAAAGTGTGTAGGAAGGAGGATCCAAAGTTTGAGGTCATCCTACACAACACATCAAGCTCAAGGCAGCCTGAGACACATGAAAGCCTGTCTCAAAAAATAAAATAAAAAATACTTATAAATTATATACTTTTGGCATTGAGACTTAGTATTTACAATTTCAATTTTGATTATTTTAAGTGATGGTAGGGTTGTAAAGCATGTTGGAATTTGGCTTGAGGGTTTATCTGTGTGTCTGTGTGTCCATGTGTTTCTGTGTGTATCTGTGTCTGGGTGTGTGACGAGCACATTTATGTGAGTAAATGTACAAGCCATGGCACACCTGTGGAGGTCAGAGGACAACACTGGGTATCAGTTCTCATCTTCCACCCTGTTGAAACAAGAGTTCTTTTTGATGTTCACTGCTGCATGTACCGGGCAGGAAGTCCCATGAGCTTCCTGCAATTCTCCTGTCTCCCCCTTTCATATCATGGTAGAAGTACTGCCATTACAGAAACATGCTACTGTGCCAGGCTTACCATGAGATTCGAACTCAGGTCCTCATGCTTGTGCAGCTAGCACTTTGCCCACTGAGCCATCTCTGCAGCACACATGTAGGTTTTTTAAATTTCTAAACATTTCTATTTATTTTATGTGTATGAGTGTTTTGCCTACATGTACACCTGCCTACAATGCCCACAGAGGCCAGAGGATGGTGTAGGATACCCTGGAACTGGAGTTAGGGATGGCTGTTAGCTGTCATGTGGGTACTAGGAACTGAACCCAGGTCCTCTATAACAATAACTAGTGCTCTTAACCACTGAGCCATCTCTTTGGCTCCCTAGATTTTTTTTAACTTTTTGCTTTGTTTTGTTTTGGTTTGGTTTAGTTTTCTGAGAAAAAGTCTCACTATGTACCCCTGATTGGATTGGAACTCACAAAGATCCCCCTGGGTCTGCCTCCAGAGTACTAGGATTAAAGGCATGTATCATCACCATGCCTGGCATTATTTTCTTAATATTCAATAAGATAATTCACATTCAGTATGTATGAAAGGTTCTCAATGCAATGTGTTATACCACTTAGCTGGTAAGTGAACTTAACTAAGTCCTAACTCCACTAAATAAGTATTCAGGAGTATCTGAACATAGTATTCTGAGTAACTGAGATACATCAGTGATCAAAAGAATTAAACTCCCTATCCGTAAGAAGCTTATATTCTCAACTGTAAATATAAGTAAGTACTGTAGAAAAAAGTTTTAGATAAGCAGGTCTGAGTATAGGGGACGGGGTCATGCCTACAATCTCATTAGAAAGAAGACTGAAGGAAGAAGACTCCGGGTTCCATGTGAGCCTGCTCAACAGAGTAAGACCTTGTCTTGAAAAAAACAAAACAAAGGCTGGGCATGGTGGTGCACGCCTTTAATCCCAGCACTCAGGAGGCAGAGGCAGGCAGATCTCTGTGAGTTCAAGGTCTCCATAGTGAATCTAGGATAGCTGGGGCTACAGGGAGACCCTGTCTCCAAAAAAAAAGACCAAAAAAAAAAAAAAAACAGTGAAAAAAGAGAAAAAAAAGACAAATAATAAAAAGGGTAGAATTTGCAACTTTTTTATTTTATGCATAGGGTGTTTTTGCCTGTATGTATATATAAAGTGGGCCATGTGTGTGCAATGCCTGCAAAAGCTAGAGAAAGGCTTCACCTCCCCCAGAAACCACCATATGGGATCTGGGAACTGAACCTGGATCCTAATGACTAAGCAGTCTCTCCAGCCCCTAGAATTTACAATTTCTAAACTAGTAGTCAAGATAAACCTCGTTAAGAAGATATTATTGCTGTCAGGCATAGTGGTACACAACTTTAACTCCAGCACTAAGGAGGCAGAGGCAGGCAGATCTAATGAGAATTTGAGGTCAGCTGGGACTACAGGGAGACTGTCTCAAAATCAAACAAACAAACAAATTATTGCACATGGACCTAAAGACTGGGGAAACTAGCACTAGAGCTACAATTCCAAAGTGTTTCAAAGTCAATAGTCAATACTCAGGTCCTAAAGGGGAGGGTAACTGAGGAACAGTCAAAATGTCAGTGTGGCTGGAGTGGAATCAGAGAGGGCAATAGAAGGAGAAGAGTTCTGAGGCGAGAAAAAGTGTGGTGCTGGGGAGAACGGGGTTAGACTCAATTTGAAAGGTTTTGGGCCTATAATCTGCAAGAAATATGGAACCCTTACAGAATTTTAAACAGAAAAGTATTAAACCCTCTCTTTCGAGAATAAAGATGAGAGGAGGAATAAAATAGGAAAATGATATCATAGACTATTTAGGAACCCAGGCAAAAGGGAAGAGCAGTTCAGACTAGGGAGATCACAAGACATGGCACTTAGCAATATTATAGAAACTTGGGTTCCTAATAGGCCTTTACTAACTTTATAGGTATTTTCACCACTGTTCACACCAGGACCTAAAGAGCTCTTTATTGCTATTATAACTAGATTCTAAAGTTAACTAGAGCTGACCAAAATCAAACTAAAAAAATTAAGTTCACCAGATTCTAAAAATGTTCTATCAATTAATACTTACACTATTTCTCTTATGAGAATTTATGCCGAGGGGCTCAAAAATACACACAGCATTCCCATATGAAGCTGCAACCTAAAAAAAGAATAACATTGATATTTAAGAAAGGGCAAAATACAGATTTCTTTTCAGAATAGTGTATAAATTACATAGAATACAATTCCAATGCAATTTCATGGTATAATTTCTTCTATAAATAAACCTGGAAGTGTACTAGATTTAATAATCTCAGGCAGGCATGGTGGCACACTGCTTTCATTTCAGCACTTGGGAGGCAAAGACAAGATGATCTTTGTGGGTTTGAGGTCCACCTGGTCTCCATAATGAGGTCTAGGACAGATAGGGCTACACAGTGAGAACCTGTCTCAAAAACACTCTTCTGTTACCAAAAACTTCAGTAGGCTTTATTTTAGTAATACAAAGTTGGCCTATTCAAAGAAATTGTTTTGTTTTGTTTTTTCAGAGACAAGGTCTCAGGTAGTCCAGGTTGGCCTCAAACGCATTATGTGGCTGGGGCTAGCCTTGAATTTCTAATCTTCTTGCCTCCACCTGCCATATGTTAGAATAACGAGAATGTACCACCAAGACCATTTCAGAAATTATCTGTTTTATAAGAATTTATTTTGGGACCAGCAAGACGGCTCAGCAGGTAAATGTGCCTGTGGCCACCCTGACAAATCCATTCCCTGAAATCCACACAGTGGAGGAAGAGCACCAACTCCTGCAAGTTATCCTCCGACCTTTACACATATGAGGGTACACACACACACACACACACACACACACACACACACACAATTTTAAAAAAGGTAAAAACTTTTAATATTTTACACACATGCTCACAATAAAAATGTAATTTAAAAATTTAAGTTTTTTTAATTAAATAACATTTTTAAAATATTTTATTTATGTTTATTTTATGTGTATGAGTGTTATGCCTGCATGTAAGTGAGTACACCCATGTCATTCAATGCCCAGAGAACAGAAGAGACTGTCGGATCCCCTGGAACTGGAGTTACAGACAGCTGTTAAGTGCCATGTGGGTGCTGGGATTTGAACCCAGGTCTTCTGCAAGAACAGTCAAGTGTTCTTAACCACTGACCCATCTCTCCAGCCCCTAAAATTGAATCACTTTAGTGACAAAAATACATTTCAATGGTGCATCTCTTTATCAGAACCATTTATAATCCACTGAAAAATACAAAGTTTATAAAAAGTAGAAAAAAAACAAATAATAACAGGTTTTAAGAATATACTGAACACCAGGCATGGTGGTGCATGCCTTTAATCCCAGCACTCGGGAAGCAGAGGCAGGTGGATCTCTGTGAGTTCAAGGCCAGCCTGGTCCACATAGTGAGTTCCAGGACAGCTGGGGCTACAGGGAGACCCTGTCTCAAAAA